ATTTTCAAAATGGCGGACAGGTCAAGGAGGGAAATTAAAAAGACAAAGCGATTTTGCAATGAATTCTCAACATACACCCTCGTTAGAAAGGCGAATCCACGGAAGAAAGATACAAAACTGTATGATATTGAGATCGATATGATATTAAATCGATACCGAGGGCCCGTTTAATTGCCTTCCGCCACGATTATCAGCTTTCTTGACAGCTTTCTGAAGACAGAATACTTTCTTTCTGAACACTTCTGATATGCGGCTATTGATTATTACACCTCGTGTACCTGATTGCTCAAACACTTTGTTTACGATTGTTGAAAGGACCGACTCATGGTTCTCCGTCTTCGTCTTGACATTGCTTTGAAATAGTATAGACTAGCAAGCTGAAACGAAAAATTAATCAGGGAAGTTTACGAAAAATCCAACAAACAAGCTTTAAAAAGGCGTTTATTTAGACTTAATACTTCAACGAACTTCACAAATCTTACTTGTTTATCTTGTAAGTAAACGATGGCAGATTAATTCCCGGAGCGCTTTCTGAGTTTCCCGATCCCTCTCCTACTGCTTTCACGCTTACAAAACAGGAAAAATCAAAAGGAGGAAGATACAACTGTTTTGAAACGCCATTTGACGAAGGTAAATCTGCTTTTTGTTCGACACTTTACACATCAAAACAAAGGAAATTTGTTCCTCTTTTTGGTTCTGGCGGTACCTTTTTAATTTGCGCCTGCGTAAAAGAGATATCGCCCGAGACCCTTCGCTCGGTCGCGTTTTGATCAAAAACGCCTTGTTAATTTCACGCAACCGCTCGGAGAAAAGGTAAAAATGACGAGGGAAAAACTTTACCTTCAAGTTAGAAAATTAGCGAAATAGAAAGCCACAATATTATAGTTTAATATTTCAGAGGTACATTGAGTGCTTTTTCCGTAGAGAATCCGCACGATGGTAAAACATTCGAAAATTTCGCTCGATTTGAGTGGGGTGTTGAAGTGGGCGTGGTCACTACATTCATGTTAAGACTATTTGTACCCCATGAGTTTGATATGGTTGTTCATTTGTTTCCTTGTGAGTCTTTTGTCAGTTTACGAACTGATGACATTCCTTGGTCGCAAATATTTTTTTATTCTCATGAATCAAGATTTCATATTCTAATGGTTTGACAACCAGCAATTGTTCTAAACTTTCAAAGAGTGTTTTTCCTTTTCCATGAATCAGAAAATACCTTAGCTTTCTTTAAAAGAATATTTTCTTTCGTGTAAATTGGTGTTACCCAATGTCTGTTTTCTTGTTGTTTTCATTGATAGCCGTCACATCTGATATTTCGAAAGTGCTCTTATTTAAACTTCTCTCTCGCGGGATGTCAAGATTATTCTCCTTTCCTTGACTCTTCAAGTCTACCATAAAAAATGTGATCGAATTTTCAGTTCAATTTCAAGTTCACCAAGAGTTGCAAAGTTCTTCAAACAAAGCTACAACTGATCAATATTTCAGTTCGTTAGCGATTTATGCCTGCATGCCTTAATGCCTTTGTCGTGGTTTTTGTTGCAAAAAATAAATGTAAAATTGTAGCATTATAACACATGGCGACTGGAGAAAAATCGTATAGAATATTTTTTTTTTTTGGAACCGAACTGGATAGTTAAGTAGGGAATTTTTCTTCAATAGAAATCAGTGTAAATTTCATGAAAAGTTTGCACATGTTAGATCAATCTATTTCTAAACGAAAATTGGTAATACGTTCTCGACAACCGTCAGGTATGTAAAACTCCTTGTAAAAACTTATCTCAATTTTACACTATAATTTTCCAGATATTATTTCATTATGTAGTTGATTCATAGATTCTTTAGTCAAGCTCGGTTTGGGGCCAATTTGAGAAACCAGGAAGTTGTTTCTACTAATTTATGAATCAACCATAAACAAAATCCTTTGTGTAAATACAATTTTTCTTTCACACGAATTTTTCTGTCGGTAATTACAATTTGGCGAGATTCGACAACATTTGTATAGTTTGAAGTAATTGGTTTGGCTAAGTATAATTATGTTACATAAATGTATGATGAATACGACTCTGTGATAGTTTAATAGAATTTAGAGTTTTTAATCAATACCTCTGTCTTACGAAATAATTGTACATATCTAGTGACATATATCATGGTGTAATTGTGCTATGAACGAAGTTTGTTGAAGTTAAATTAAGGCTTAAGCGAGGCTGTTGCTGTATTTGGTTCGTGTAGTTTGATGACGTTGAAGATGAGGGGTGTACTTATAGTAATTGTTGAAGTCAATGAAGGTTTTGTGGTTTGGTTAACGTTAAGTTTGGTACAACTCGATTTTTTTCTGGTATAGCTGGTGTAGTTATGTAGTTCATTTGGTTGTTTAAGCTGGTGTCAGTATTTGTCGTGGTTGCGCAACTTGGCTCTTTGATTTTAGAGTAGTTTTTGACTTAAGCGTAGTTCAAATTGTTGAATTCTTTGATGTATTTGGTGTTGTTTGATCCAGTTACTGGCCTTTGTGTGCTTGGTTTAGTTGATATACCGCATTTCCTCGAATGAGCGTCCTGGCTAAAAGGAGAGTCGCTTATCGGAAGGGGAGCGCTTGTCAAGAACTATTAATCGGTAGTTATTCCGAATTAGTTGAGTCTTAAAAAGTTATAAATAAAGTGGAAATAGAAACAGATTTTCCTTGTATCCCTACTATTTAAGAAAGTGAGGGAGGAGGGGGAGGGGCGCTTGTTTGATATTATGACTAAGGGAGGACGCTTTTTCGAAAGAGGGCACTCATTAGAGCGTGGGCACCTATCCGAGTAAATATGGTGGTTTTCGTATAGTTTCGTGTAGTTAGTATGATTGGAAGCATGGCTGACTTCAACAGGGTAGCCACTACTTTAACATCTTACAGGCTTTTAGGTTATACTGCATTGTTTTTAACTACGAATCTTTTTTTTTTTTTTTTTCATTTTTTGAGAGACAGGGTGATAATCTACAGCTCTGGATATCCTCCAATTCTAATTGTAAGCTGGCTGCTTATCGTCTAATGAGTATCGCAATGCCCATTAAGATGTACCAAAAACGAATCATTCTCCACTCACCAATTTCTGAAGAGTTCTTTAATTTCTATTGTCCTCATTTGGAATACGATTTCTGATCAATGAAAGAGAGACGGCAGAGTTAGATTGAAATCGTCGAAAAAACACAATTAAACTCGGACAGCCTCACAGAAACTGGGATAACTTTGTCTCGAATACAAATAACTTGGACATAAACGACAAAAAGTCGTCGTGGGCCACGATACTGAGAAGACAAAAAAGAGACAAATATTTCCCCTAAGTACCCAGGGCCCCCCCTCCCATATCATCCGCTTCCTTGACCTTCCTTGGCGTGAAACCTAGTCACAAACTTTTCCATTGACAGTAAACGTGTACAGTAAATTTACCAAAAATATTAACGCAAATAAAATGATTTTCGTGCGATTTGAAGTTGCCATGAAAAAGAAAAAAGCGGGCAAGGAGTGAAATATTGCTGCTTTATGAGTATACTACGAAATATGGCAAAATCAGTGATACTAATAACATATTCCCAACTTTAACGTCGTTCTTTGCTTGAAATGAGAGTTAGGAACAATTATCGATGATTCCCGAGAAAAACAAGACAAAATTCCTCATACTGAAGTTCGTCCAACAACATTTAAACCTGATAATTACCTTCGAATGTATGAAATAATAATTCGGCCATTTTGTTTTCCACCTTGTCAACATGTTTTGCCATGTCCTACCTGAATTGGCAGTCTCTTGCCAGGGTTGCCACAAGTAGGTTTTCTCGCAGATCAATTTGGAAATGACAATGTCCTGGCCTGAAGCTTTCTGTGAAACCGAACCTTATGAATCACCCCAGAAGATTCCAACGGTAGATAAACTTCTACGACCGAGTAACGCCTTTTGCAGCATGCGCAGGCGAGGAAAAATAATGAATATTAACAAGAAAAAATTTGCAATTCAGATCATCAAAGCATCTTTGATTCCTCTTTTTGTCTCAGGAGTTGGGGGAAAATAGGCAAAGGACATCTTTATTTTCTTGTATGACATCATATCTACACATTTTTGTGCGCCCAAACGCGTCCAAATCGGGAACAAGCTTCAAGGTTTCTTATAATCGAACCCGCAATAATGAATTGTCCTGGTCTGGACATAGTGAGTTTACAATTAAATTGAGGGGGATGGAAAGGCGGGTGTGTCTGTTGTCGAAGTTGGAAAATACTTGCTTATCAAAGCGCATTTCACCCAGCTGCAGGCCAATCCGGACGATGGAGAATATGACAAGTAGCCTTTAAAGATCCAAACATGCTGAAGCACGGCAAGACGCGAATGCGTGTACAAAGCCGCAATCGGTTCAGGTTTTGAATCTGTTTGTTGGGAATGTTGCGCCAGTTTTCCAAAACCAATTGATGAGAATGGTAGCCGCCTTCGCATCCTAAGGACCGGCGGCAAAGGAGACTATAGGCAAAGTAAGGCAGAACCAATGCAATCTCTGATTTCTTTTCCGCATTCAGTTATCAGTAGCCGATGATAGCCTGGACTGACATCGATTTAGAAGACAAGAACAGAAGCACTCCAGCGCTCCATACAAATGTGCATACTAAAAACTAGTCAAAATATTTTGCTAAATTATAAGTAAAGTAAAAGTGAAATTGTATTAAATTTAGCTCAATTTTCCAAGTGTAAATGTGGAAGGACACCAACTTCTACCAAGTAAGCGAATGGCAAACGGAATCTTTATAAAATCGTTTGACGTCTTGAATGTTTGGATTCAAATTAAGCCGGCAAAATAGGACGATTTTCGATTTAAAAAGAAAAAACCAGAAAAAAATAAGAAATAAAAGAGCAAATGAAAACATGAAATAGGCTTGTGTTAACTACGACTAAAACAAGTGTACCATGTAATTGGTTGAAATGGTGGTGAGATTTTTCTAGATTATTCAATCCTGGATCAATCTAGACTCTCAACTGAACATTGCACTTTATTATAGACTTGAGCTACATTACGCTGTAGATTTAGATCTAGGGCGTTTAATAGATTAAAGATGGATATTATCGTTAGTTCTGAACAACATATCAAATACCTCAGACAACTAGTGAGAGAATTTCCGTAATAAATTCATGACGTGCTAGTTAGTTAAAACAAATTGAAGCGATGTTCGCGTATCGTCGTCGCGAAAACCACACGAGCTTTATCATAATTTTTTCATTCAGGCATACATAGATTAATAACCGTTTTTCTATTCGTCTCTCATTAAGAACGAGAACACCACCAAACAAATAGATGTAAGTACCACAATCAAAAATAGACCATAAAATTGTACTAAATATGCTATTAAATTTAAAATCTATCTAACGAGCTTTTGATTAAGTCCTATTAAAGTTATTCTAGTTTTAAAGGAGCCCAGAGTTTGTGCATCTTTAAACTTTAACCCAATGCTTTCAAACTTGAATTGTAATTTTTTAAATTGTAACAATTTTTATTGTTCTAATCCATCTGTCATTTCCTCTAAAAACAGCGTGCAGCTCCTTCCAAAAGATGAGGCTACCCCCATCCTGGTAGTCTCGAATGCCTGAGTGGCATAAATATGACGTTGCGCCAAGCATGCTGTCATTGTGTTGCCGCCCCTCCCTTTTCTATACAGTGTGCACACTGAATGTTGGGAAAGAAAATGCGGGCTTCTGTCTTCATACTTTCACTGGCGCTGACGGTCTCATGTTCAGTCTCTTGGGAAGAGTAAAGCTCAGCAGAACAGCCAGGAAACACACGATGGAAAGCAATATGAAAGCAAAGTGTTCGTCAAGCGGGAATCCGTGTTTGTAGCCCTTACTTATCGACCAGGCAAACACACTCCCAGCAAAAATTGGAGCTAAGGTTCTGAAGGAAAAAGAACGCAATAAACCTGAGTAAAACTCAGTTACCTTGAAAAGCGTATCGGAGAAATGCCAACTAACGCTTAACAAGTTTAGATAATTTTTTCCAAAACGACATGTTGTAGATTACCACGCTACGCTGCAGCCAATTAGAAACAGCCATATGTTAGCATTATGATTCTATGACTAACAAAAATTGTGGTGATCTTCATCGATCATTATTATGGAATTACCATCAGCGTACTAAAATTCATCTTTCTGCAAATGTACGTTCAGAGTTACATTATTTTTTTGACAAATTAAGTTCGCCCACAACCCCATTGTAACCAAACCATTTTGAGCCACCCTAAAATGAACTAGATACAAATATAATTTGTTGATTGAGCTAATATGGGAGAGTTACATGTAAAACAAATAGTTAAGAGGTGCATGTGGAGGAAAGCTGAGTTTTAATCAAATAAGAGAACCCAAAAAAAAACACGGACAGCAAAGAGCGGAACTAATCAGTTGTTACTCAAGGTCTTAAAAAAACAATCAGTGCCACAGCAATATCAGGAAAGGTCCTTAACCAATGCATTATCCTTGTGCCTTACAGTGCCTCAAATATATTGGGGAGGTAATCATTTCAGTAGAAATAAGATATTTTAGATGCACCTACCTGGATATGGAACTTGCTGTCATCGCAAGTCCATTTGCAGAGCCTAAGAGGTAAGCAGGTACCGCATTGTTGACAAGGATTCCTGTGGAGCTAAAGCCACAACCAATACCCAACCTCATTGGAATGAGAACAACAATCATCAATGGCCAGAGAACTTTTGACCTGTAACGAGATTGGAGAAGATCATCAGTAGATGTCAATGAAGGTTGATTGTGATGTTTAAGCCATTTCAATCCTGACCCCTCATTTTTAGTTCATACTTATCATAAAATTTGCCTTTAGGAAAGATCTTCTTCTCTTTAGAGACTTTTTATCTACTAATTTTTCTTTAACATTCTTCCTCTCCACTTTCCTCCATACTCTCTCCATGAAAGCCCCTAAGCTGAATTACCTTTTTTTTTGCCACTAGCCTCTTTCATCAACTATTACATGTACTTTACATCAACCATGTCATTTCTTTGGAACCAACCTGTCATGTAGGGTATTCAAGGCTGACAAAGAAGCAATTGTGATTCCCAAGACAACATTTGCCAATTGAAAAACCTGTGAACAAATCCAATAATTAATAGGAAATTCCACACATTCTCATCTATTTGTGAAAATGGGTACAATATTTAGTAAATAATAAAACAAATCCAAAAATGACATCAAAACAACATGCATTACCCTGATTGATCCAAGGCACCTTTCAAACTAAAAGGAAGAAGTAAAGAAAAAGAGCAAATCAATACACATGTAATGATTCATTTGTTTCAAAACCGGAAGTGTATAGCCAATTATAGTAAAAAACAGACATTTTTCCCCAGTTGTTCAAAAGGTGGATAATACTATTCTACATGTAAGGGTTAACAAAACCTACTGAACTATCCACTGGATTGAGATTTATTCAGTGGATAGCATTAACCACCCTAATCAAGCAACCAAGGTCTTAACATTTACCTTTGGATAAACCCAAAATTGAAGAACTAACATAGGTCCTGCTACACACAGTAATGCAGTGCCTATCTGGTCAGTAGAAAAGCCAAGTCCACCTGTATAAATCACACATAACACTAATGTTAGTGCATGATTGACTTTGCTGTGTGAAGGGCAAATTGTTTGAATGCAAATAAACTGACTGTGACAGTAGCTTTATTCTTTTTTTTTCTTTTCAGAAGTCATCATTTTCTGGAGGGGTGAGGAGATTTCCATATGCACTCATGTTCAACTTAAAAAACAGGAACTTAAATTCAGTATGATTATGAGTCAGATGACTCTGGCAAAAATGGATGGTTGAATGGGACTACTAATGCATGATGCCTTTACCACAAAAAGCAGACCATGCTTTACACGTACATCACTCAAATATACTTCATTTTTCACATTTAGGAAAAAAAATCTTTGAAGGCCAAATGTATTTTGTCATAAGTAAGAATCAAGCCTTGATTAATAACCACTAAACAAACTTGCATATTTTATAAATAGAGGGATTTTACAGCATGGTCAGAATTTCAAAATGTGATCCATGCAAACTTGTGATCCATGTTCAAAACTTACATCACTCAAAATCACTCACATGTACATCACTCAAATATACTTCATTTTTCACATTTAGGAAAAAACAATCTTTGAAGCCCAAATGTATTTTGTCATAAGTAAGAATCAAGCCTTGATTAATAACCGCTAAATAAAATTGCATATTTTATAAATAGAGGGATTTTACAGCATGGTCAGAATTTCAAAATGTGATCCATGCAAACTTGTGATCCATGCTCAAAACTTATCATCCCTATTTTTCTGTCAAAAACACCTTACCATGTTCAGGTCCTGTGGCAGCCCACAAAGAAAACAACTCATCATAACCAATGACAATGAATGAAAGTGAACAATACACACAAATGGCAAGGGTTACAACACGATCCCTGAAAATTAAGAGAACAAGGAATTCATGCATTATTGTTTAAACACAATACGTAAACTTAAACTGCACGTGCCATGAACTAAAATGTGCATTAATTTGTTCCTTTCTTATCAACACTGTAAGACAGTAAAAAGTATTTTCAAAATATCTTGAAATAACATGAGCTCTCTGGAAATTTATATTACCTCAATAAAACTGCAATTTTACTGTCTCTGAAGAATTCACAACATCTATATCTTGGACAACAGCAACTCTTAAAACCACAACAGTTTCTGTCATTGTCAATGTCCTCTTTGTTCACATCATTGATAAATATTTCTACTTCCTCTGTTTCTTCCAGACTTTTTTTTTGTGTGTAGCTATTTTCATCATCTTCATCAATTAAACTGTTGGAAGCTGTGCTCTGCATGGCTAATTCACCAGTTTCTGAACTGCTTGATGATGTCTCATCATCACTGAGTAGCAAAAAAAATTGAAAAATCTATGATGGTCTAATAATGGTACAAAATTTAATTCATGACTTTCAACAAACCAACAGAACTGATGAAATTAATAACAAACATGGACAAGAGAAAAAGTAATGAGAGGAAGAAGACAATAACCCTTAACTTCCATGAGTGACCTAGACAGAGTCTCTCTGCACAATATCATGCAATGTAATGGTCACTATATACACAGAAAAGTGATAAGAATAGAGAAAAAAGTCAACAAGGGGATAATTAACTGATCCAGTACCAAATTCTACAAACTAACATCATAATAATTGTATAGCAGACAGTGAGTAGAATTACTAATGAGGTTTTGGAAGCGAGAGAGTTAAATGACTAACTTTGTGCTATCTGACTAAAGGGCTCTGAATTTAATTAAGCCTGATCGTAGACTCATTTCCTGTACAACAGCTGGTTGTTCAGAGCCTATATTGTATTACCAGCTAATATCGCTACCTTGTAACAAGAGTCTCTGGTAAGTAGAAGTAGGCCAACACAACTGTAAGTAAGAGTGCAGCACAGTGTAACAGGCAGGGAAGGAAAAATGGGAATTTATCAAAGAGTGAATCTGCAAAAAGAAATATGTTTGAACAGAAATCCATAAGCTGAGGCCATGAAATGTTCTTATGATTTATTATTATCATTATTAGTTTTCTTTGAGCATTTCCGCTTTCAGTGACTGTTCAATACAGGTGGAAAACAATACAAACAGGCACTTGGGACTCACATTAAGGTGACCTAATGGCTTAGCAGAGATAAAAATTGCAGTGTTTCAGGGAAACATTAAGTTGGGACTTTGACAACTGACCACTCAATACAAGGTGACCACTTAATATGGTGCCACCTAATAAAGGTGTGACTTCAGTTATTTGTTAAATGCAGTTCTTGCAAAGTGACAACACTCTACTTTATAAGAGACATTCTGATAAGAACTTGTCACAAAACAAAAACAAAATTAATAAAACCCCAAAGAAAAATTTTATTTGCTAGCTGCAGGGCTTAATGTTTCTCTTTCAGTGGAATCTTATACACTACATTCTAACAAACCTTTCGTAAAAACACTGGGATATTTCTTTGATGGTTCTGCAAGATAACCTACAATTAGAAAATAAGACATCTGTTACTCATTTTAAATTTATTCAACATTTGAAATAGTAAATAATATTTAAAATAAACAACAATTTATTTTTACAAATTAATCAATAACTCAGAAAGGGTGCATGGAAAAAAGCCCAAAGAGATTTCTGAAAGACTATAAGATTCTCTTTCCAAATAGTCTTATACTCCCTTGTAAAACACATAAAGAAGAAGCTGTTAAGCATGCAAGGTGCTTTATTCCATTAACATCCCTTCAATTACAGCTGCATGTATAATTAACTTTCAGAATACCAACCACTGAGGGAAGTTATTATAATTCCTATTGGCATACTGTGCTGTTTTACATTCTAAATACCTTTATACATTGGTTATAACTCTCATATATTGTTTTAATTAGCTGATCATTTAGTTTTGGTGTCCATGAGTACATGGAGCATTTTCTTACCCCCTGTAGCTGGACCAATGATAAGTCCCACGTTCCAAGATGTCAGTATAATTGACATTGCCATTGCCTAATGAAACAATTCAGACATAGTGTGTGAAAAATTCAGCACTAAATGCTGGGTGGGTTGAAACTGTATTTAAGAACACAGCAACCTTGAAAATAGTGGTGCTGAAATCACTCAGCACCAAAGGATATAAAATTACACTTACTCTATGTAGTCTTTCCATTGTGTATACTAAAATGTATGCTTAAATGTTCTGTTAAATGATTTCAAAGGCTGGTCTCTAATTTGTTCACTATTTTACAAGAATATTCTAGCAAGGCCATAGAAGCAGAGTGGGTTAGGGAGCCAAGGACTTACTCCTCAAGTTTAATCATCCCACATTTGCTTCAAATGACATGCCAAAGAGCTATCTAAATGTACAAAATTTTCAAGACCAGGATGCCCCTACCCTGGGTATCTCCCAATGGGGATACCCCTCTGACCAATATTATTCATAAATGACAATCATGCAGTGCCACCTGTTGGGAGTCCTTCACTTCAAAATTTGTTCCTTTGGCCATCTGTAGTTCAGGGTATCGGCATTTAAATCACCAAGCACCACCTCTGAGTGAGTGCACATAATATTGGCTAGTGAAATCTTAAAACTATATAAAATAACAAATAACTCCACCTGCATTGCTTGTGATTGTCACCTCACAAAATGAGCACACATGCAGTCATGACAAACATACCTGATTTGTGTTATCACTGACTTCTGAAGCAATTGTTTTGCATGTCCCTATGAGTCCTAAATTGAATCACAAAAAGATCATTTAATAAATTTAGAAAATGTATTAACATATAAATTTCAACATTCTTTAATTGACTAGCCTACTATCCAAGCTGAAAAATTCTTTTACCCAACCCTGACAGGATTTAAATTAATAAATTCTTCACTTCAGTTTCCTGCCACTTTGCCTTGGTTACAAAACCTTGGTAATTAGTAACACCATTAAAATGATCATCACCATAATATTGTGCAATAACCACACTTACCAGCAGATAGACCAACAAATAGTCTGGTAACAATGGCCATGTAGAGAGAGACAGACAGACCAAAGCCAACCATACCAACCAGGGTCATTGTAAGGCAGATTATCATCACAGGCCTTCTTCCAAATCTATCGGTCATTAATCCCCAAAAATAACTGAAAGGGAGTAAGTAAATTTTGGTTACAAATGTTTGCTGATCCATAGTTTCTGTGCCTTGTACATCAACACTCTTGGATCTTCAAATCAATGTACACGATTGTAACTGATGTGTCTTGTTGTAAAGTTTCTTTATTCATTAAGTTTAGAACAGAATCTTTAGGAACATGCTTGCTAGGCCCCCAAGGTGCACATTTACTGCAAATCTTTCAATGATTATAAATTATTTGTCACATCCAGAACTGCCATGTTAAGTTACTAATTAAATCACAAGTCAGCCTGGATCTAAGATCAACATATCAAATAAAGATTTACTCTGCAATTACCTAGCTGCGGTGTGTCCAATAAACTTTGAAGATGCTACAACACCTGCATAGTATCCTATAGACAGGAAAAAAATAAATGGAAACTGTCATCAAATACCTTTGTTACATTATTTTGTAAATGTGGAAATAACTGAATATTACTGAGAACTTATGGCTAAGAAAAGTGGATAAGAGTGAGTGAATTTATCATTGAGCCCTCTATCAATTAGCACCAGTATTCAGAGATCCTTTGTTGTCAACTATATAATTTACGTATAAATTTAAGGACAGGAAGCAAATTGAGTATTTGTCCTTGATGCAAATTTGGATGGAGCACATGGTAAAAAACAAAATTAATTATGTAGAGATCAAGTTCGTAATTTCATAATCAGTAACTATCAAACCATATCATGTAGAACACTAAAAAAAAAGCCATGGTGCATCGACCAGCCTGGCATTTTGTAGCTTAGTAACTGAACAAAAACTTTATGGAAATTATAGAAAGAATTATTATGTAACTGTATAGTACCTGTGTCTTCATCTGAGATCCCAAAGCTCTGACAAAAATATAAAACAAAAAAACAGATACATGACAATAAATCTCTGATTAACGACAATTTACATTTTACATATCTTAGACATCAAGTACAAAACAGACATTTTTCATTGGTGTTAAGTTAACAACTTTTAGTGAGCTCAAAAATCAAGCTTCCTTCCCCATAATTATGTAGCCAGCTGACATTTCCTAAAATTTAGCACTATAATTATAATTTCATCTCACCTTCACCATAGCTGGTAAAAATGGAAACAATATGGTGATGGACATTGCAGAACAAAACTGAAAATAAAACAATATTCATCGTAATTGTTTAATTCCTTTAGTGCCAAGAAAATGTTGTAATTACCTGTAGATACACCATGGCACTTCTTAAATTATTTGCACCTCAATGTTCTACTTCCTCAAGGGCAAAAATTATTTGAGAGTGGGGCACATTTAAAATTTGGATGCAGCATACAAAATTTTCACTTTCATTTTCACCTAAATGAGAATTTTATAGTAATTAACAGATGTGTCTTGATTTTAACCTCTGATCTCTTCTGGCACTTTTCAAGTTAATTACCAGTTACAAGACATTCACTCAATTTCGACCACACTGTTCCCCTCTTGATCGGAGTCAACAACCTCTAGCACGGGAGGCTATGCCTCTTACACACAAGAATCTGTGCATTGAAAAGAATTTGTATCTGATTCTCTAAGGATATCTAGCTGCATTGGTAACATTGCTGCTTCCCAGGTGCTACATGGTTGTCCTTCTTTGAAAAAGTGAATGTGAATAGGTAGCATCATCATTCAAATCATCAATCAAAGGGAGGTCAACCCTTTAACTCCCATGAGTGACCATGACAGAATTTCTCCTTACATTATCAATACAATATCAAGTATACAAGTGATAAGAATAAAGAGATTAGGGGATTACAAGTTGATCCAATCCCAAATTCTCCAAACTAACATTGCAAGAACTGTATGGCAGACAGTAGGGAGAATTAATGAGATCTTGGGAGTTAAAGGGTTAAAGATGCAACTTGTGAAAGAAATATTGATAGCATTTGTGGGTAGCTCAGCCCAAGCATCTGGAATCATTACATTACGACACTTCCGAGTTCTCGTTGTTCAGTGATCTGGTACCGAAATTACGGCGCGAGGACGAGGCTAGGTGTGAAGTGGCACTATTTGGCATGAGGAGTAAAGTGCCTAAAATTTTGGATGCTTGGATGCACAACCTCTGTAACTTTCCAAAGTTTTCGTTCGGCGTCCACGTGCAGCCTGGCCAAACCTGGCCTAAGTTTCCTATTGTCATCACTTAACTTTTTGTCTTTTTTTTTTCTTTTTGATTCGTAGCAGGGCTTACTGTAATTTGCAAAACGATCTGAACGATAGGAATTGGAAATCCTTTACTTGCGAAATGAGCTCAAAATCTATAATTAGCAAAATTGCGAAATGAAAATCTGTAATTTACAAAACGAGAATCCATGAGGTAAACTCCACCGGCCAGAAGGATAAATCGGTCAGTTCGTCACTAGAGTAGATTGCAAACACAACTTAGCATATAATATTAACTATAAATAACATTTGAAACCTAAACTAAACATTTTTCAGATTTTATTCCATCTTTGAACATTTTTGTAGGTCCAAGCATTAAAAATTTTTGGCACTGGAAATTTGCCCTAATTTGTTTGCAATTTCTCTTCCAATAGTTTGTTTTTTGCGGTCTTTGGCAGAAGAGGCAATTTTGATCAGCTTCACTGCTTCATTATTCATTACTTTGAAATTAGAGAAATTTTCCCTTGTTGTCTCTACCACTGCACTTTCCTCTTAACACCGATGAAAGCGCCTTCGCACTTAGCCTTGTCCTCACGCCCGAGAACTCGGGAGTGGCTTAACGGAGGCTCCGAAATTCCAAGTTTTTTCATTTTCGGTGGCTATTTATTGTAATTTTCTCGGTAGGAACTTTGAGCGGCTTATTCCAACTCATATCTCCAATGGACTAAGAACAACCTCCAGGCACAATTACAAGATCGATTTCAATGACTCAGCCGGTGAGCTACATCCTAGGTGACTTTCTCCGGAATCCCATTCTTAGTTAAATCGTATTGTTAAACGCATGCAGTATTCCAATATTAAAATTACAGAGATGAGTAATGGACCATTCATCAGTTTGCCAAAGTTACAACAATTGCTTGATGTTGGAATCATTGTTTTAAAGCTACAAATTCTTAGCCTTGCTCTCTTACGTAAATTGATCATCGAGTGCTGCTGCACGTGAATGCTCACGTGCCAATCAGAATGACAAAACAACATTTTAAAGCGTTGTCAATTTGATCATTGACTCTTATGTTCTTTACGGAATTCTAGCGGAATTAATTTCTCCAGCATCGTTGGGGCAATATCAAGGTCAGACAGTTAAAACATCAGCGCTGAACCAAATGAACTAGACCTCAATAAGCGATGCTGC